ACTATTTCGAGCGCTAACCTAACTAGATCGGAACCTCAGCACCGTATTGTGTCCTGCAGAGTGAAACCACGTTAATCCTATAGAACTAGCATTGTTTTTGTTGTATTTCACACAAGTTTGCGTTTAGACTGTGCCAAACAAGTCATGGTACAATAATCTTTATAAAAAAGAAAAACTTTCCATGATTTGCTTGCGGGCGGAATACTGCCAGGTTGCCCAGGCCAAGGCAGGTGAATTTTCTTGGGAAGTTCGCAGCCAATACCTGACCCACAAGGTAGCGGGGTGGTGTGGGAAAACTGCAATCCATTGGGGGCCTGTGTCCAGTTCATCGGATCATGCGCCCTTTGGACTGGGCCAAACATCCAAGGTGCCCAATACACCTGATGCCCAATTTAGCCGGTATATATGTATATATANCCCCCACCCCCGACCGTACTAAGGCTTTTAGTCTCTGGGCTAATGATGTCCACGAATTCGTACGTCTAACAACGGACGAGGTAACAAACCAAAGCAGAACGACTGATATCACGAAACCTCAACGACGGTTGTATTATAATGAGCTAGAGAGTAGAGAGAGAAGCGTGCAGAAAGTGAAAGTCAACGTACCGTGACCAACGAGGTAATCTTGGTCCGGTAAAACAATAAGGTTCGGAAGATGGAATGAGCGGAAAGGGTTGACACTCACTACAGAATTTCGGAGGCATGAGAACTAGCCCAGACGTGTATTGGATTTATGTCATTTCCTACTGCCTCAAAAGCGTTATCGATCGTATAACCGGTTGTGCTTTCAAACAACTTATACCATTAAGTATTGATCATCCTAACTGTGGGTTCTATGCCACATCCGTATCAGAATATTAAAATCAATGCTTCCCAGCGGTGGAATATACAGATTCATCAACTTCAGCCGAACTCGTCTGCAAACGCTCAAGCCGTTTGACCTATCAACCGGATCAACTAATCATTTGCATTATTACTGATATATATTTTGCTAGAGTTGTGGAACTGTAAGTAGCCTCTGTGGGATTCCAATCTAAGGATGAAAACCGTGTGCTCTCTGTAAATCTGGTAGGTGAATTACATGTGAGAGATCAATGCTGTCGGTGTGACCTCATAGCTCAGTTATTAAAACGTACGCTGTATGAAGATGTGGGTAGTGTCCATACATCGGTTCAATTCCCAACTAGGCTTGTGATGTTTTTACAATCCAGATATATAATTTGTATTTCATTATCTTCCAAAATTTGTTTTATTTCGCCTGTAACACTGCGGTTTCTTTGTGTATTTTCTATTTATTTATTTTTTCCTCTTCAGATACCTGAATTGAAGAAGTGTATTTTTCCTCTGGACATTCGTTAGCATCAGTCGAATGAAACAATGTGGCGTTGTTTGGACATAAAGGCATTGATATATCCTCACACCCATGATGCGGGGTTCTATTTGGTTCGGCATTCAATGTCTACAGCCACTAAAAGTAGGTGAATTCCATGATCTTTATCGTTGAGCTTGGCCCAGATTTTCCTCCGCTTCACATACCCGGCTTAACTGATGTGAAGACCAAAGCAGATCAGTCCAGTTTTGTGGCTTCCGGTCGAAACAAGCCTCATCACTTACGTTATCCGCCTGTCATCAAATGGACTTCTATTTGGCCATCTGCAGCAACATTCAATTATTCGGTGGTTCCGTTGCCTATTCGTCAAGGATATTGTAAAGTTAGTTCTGTTCTGTTCTCTACGGGAATATTAAAAAATAGAATCTGGCCGAGAATTCTGGCATTTCTCCGGAAAAGTATGCCAACGCGGAGCTTATGAAGATCCCCAACTTCCTCCATTTGACTAAAGCTCATATTCAAATGCATTGTGCGGCATTGAAAAGTAAGTCCTAAGGTGAAAATTGATTTTTGGATTTGACAGAATTCTGCACTGACTGGCCTTCTGGTTTGCAATCGGCTCAGGAAACGTTGAACCACTATCCCTTGGAAGTGATCCAACACAGTTATGCGTTCAGCGCATCTACTCTGCGCGATCCAAGGGCGCGTATTGTCTCAATCAAGGTAAGTTGGGCCTGTGCAACTCGCAACCTGTCACGCATATATGTCCGCAAATGCCACGTTTATTGTTAATTAATTTTACCGGAGCATCGGTTCGTAGAGCTTGTGTTCTGACACTCAGTTTTGTTATACGGTACTAGACGTTTTGCACGTCACAAAGCGCCGGGCTCCGATGGCCTTCCCCCTGCTCCATTTAAAGATAATGGAATAAAGCTTGTTAGAGAACTACAAGTTCTGTTCTCAAAAGTTTGGAACACCGAGCAGGTCCCCTTTACGTGGGGGGAATCAGATGTCGTCCCCATCTTCAAAAAGGGCCCGCGCAGTGACTGCATCCACCATAGGGGTATAAGCCTTATCCCAATGGTGTCAAAGCTGCTGGCGTCCGTCATTCTCCGCCGTGAGGAAGTAGACCCGCGAGGAGCAGGCTGGGTTTCGTGTCGGTCGTGGATGCATCGATCAAATCTTCACCCTCCGACAGCTGCTAGAGCACCGTCATGTCTACCAAAGACCAACGGTCATTGTATTCTTAGACATCCGCATGGCTTTCGACTCTGTCGATAGGACCGCACTATGAAACTGCTTGTTGACGAATGGAGTACCTGAAAAGTAGTTGTCAATCCTCAAAGGGTTGTATCGTCATACCTCAAGTCGGGTTACGGCCTATGGCCAAATTTCGCCACTCTTCGTCGCCTCCAGTGGAGTTCGGCAAGGCTGCCGTATATCCCCTTTCCTTTTCAACTTTTTCATAGAGGAAGTTCTACGGAATGCTTTGTCCGGTCTAGCAAACGGTGGAGTCGAACTCCTCCCAGGGAACAGATTCCTTGACTTAGAGTATGCCGATAACATCGCCTTGCTGGGTGGCAATACACAGGTAGTCCAAAACGCTTTGAACCGCTTGGCGATTGAGGTATCCATGTATGCTATGTGCTTTGCACCTTTCAGGTGCAAAGTGCTTGTTCAAGAATGGCAGGAGCCTGTGCCTGCACCCATCCTCTGTGGTGATCAGCTGGAAGTAGTTGAGAGCTTCAAGTACCTCGGGAGCTTGATCGCATCTGGTGGAGGTGTTGGGGAGGAGACTACATCACGAATAGCGAAAGCTAGAGTAACGTTCGCCAATCTGCGATACCTGTGGCGCCGCCATGACATCCGATTGTCCCTTAAGGGAAGGGTGTACATAGCCGCGGTTCGTAGCGTTTTCCTTTACGGTTGCGAGACCCGGCCCCTCTGCGTTGAGGGTGCTAATCGACTTTCTGTATTCGACCACCGATGTCTCCGAAGCATTGCTCGTATCTGGTGGGAACACCGGGTGAGTAATGACGAGGTTGTTCTTCGTGTGTTGGGTGCGGATAGTCGTTCTCTAACAGAAGTAATCGCTCTACACCGCTTCCAATGGCTTGGTCACGTATTACGTATGCCTGCCCATCGACTACATTTCCGTGCGCTCTTCGCATTTGCCGGGCAAGGCCGGAAAAAGCGGCGCGGTGTTCAGACCATGACATGGCGTAGATGTATGAAGAAGCTAGCCTCAGCCTTGGCTTCGGTTGGTGCAGCTCGCCTTCCAGGTTGGGGCCCAAAAGATGAGGATTGTCGTTGGCTAGAGACGCTGAGGGATATGGCCCAGAGTAGAAGTGAGTAGCGTGAATGCTGTACGGTTTGCCTGTCGAAATCGTGTGCCCCGCAGAAGCGACAAACAACACAAAAAATATTGCAGAAACTTGATTATTAAGAAAGCAGGATAAAGATAGACTGTCTACGCTTTATTGTACAAATCTGGTAGGGTAGATGGACGAGCAATACTGAGGTTGGGCGCAGAATTTTGGTTAACCGTGGTCGCCCACTGGAGGAAGTGGTTGACCTCGATAGATTACTTTAATTGCGGTGTGTTGCGCGGACATTAAATGCGGCTAAGTGAAAAGGGGATTTTGGCTTTAAAAGTCCTATGACTTCTGATTGTCCGGCCTTACTTGTAAGACGCTGATTAATTTTCGATGGGTAGCGTAAACAGGAGGCAACTGGGATTATTCGGCATTGAGAAGAAGAACTAAGCAGATGGAAAGGATGGTTTTCCAAATGGACACAGGTTCAAAACACAAACGATGGATCTCATTGACCTCGGCTGCCCTCCATCCTGATGCCACATATGACACAGCGCGCGAATCCCTTAAACACCAGCTCATCAAAAGTCTGGGAAATGACCTCGAGAAGTGCGGAGAGATGGAAAAGGCTGCGGCTAAAGGTAATAGTCGGTCTTTTCCGTCAACTTAGGAATACAGACCCCAGGAAAGTAGGCATAAGTGAGGTAAGGAATTAAGGAATCCGATGGCACACTGATGAACGATCAGCAACGCCGTCTTGACCGTTGGGCTGAACATTTCAAGATTCAGTTCAACCGGCCCCCATCGACATCTGGTATTTCGCCCTCCACCTTGACTGGGCAAATACTGCCAATCGATGCTAGAACTCTATCTGAAATGGAGGTTTCCAGGGAAATAATTTATCTAAAAAGACATAAGGCTTCCGGCCCCGACGTACTGTCCCAATCGGTTTTTAAGGATGGGGGTTCAGCCTTGGGTTTTGGAGTTAACAAAACTCCTGGGCTCAGTGTGGGAGAGGGAAGAGGTACCCGCTGAATGGTGTGAATCGATGATCATACCGATTTACAAGAAACGCGACAGGTCTTCCTGTGAAAACCGCGGAGTAATTATTTTAATCAACATCATCTCTAAACTTCTCGCTAGGATCATACTCCGACGATTGTCTGCCCTACGTGAATGGTGCACGCGTGAGTACCAGGCTGGTTTTAGCCCCGGTCGAGGTTCTATCGACCACATTTTCACTCTCCGCCAGATTCTGGAGCATCGACATTCTTTTCGTAGACCCACCATTTTTATTTTCCTCGATCTAAAAGCGGCTTTCGACTCAGTCGATCGCTCTAAACTTTGGCGCTGCCTGTTTCTGAAAGGTGTGCTCGAGAAATTAATTTGAATATTACGATCGCTTTGTCCTAATAGGCCAAGTTGGGACCGGGCTCACGGCCCTTCCTCGCCCGAGTTCATCACGGAACGTGGTGTTCGACAGGGTTGCCCTCTTTCTCCTTTTCTATTTAACTTTGTTATAGATCTGATTATGGAAACAGGAAAGTGGTGTTCGTCAGGGTTGCCCTCTTCCTCCTTTTCTATTTAACTTTGTTATAGATCTGATTATGGAAACAGCCCTATCCTCGTCAGAGGGTGTGGCATCGATTAACTTCAGGTGGCAGGCTGACTGATCTGGAGTACGCAGACGACATTGTGCTACTAAGTGAAGATCCATGTAAGTTGCAAGCATTTCTGGAGTTTGAATGCCAGTGTAGCCACATTCGGTATGCGTTTTGCACCTTCAAAGTGTAAAATGTTGCTACGATACTGGGTTGATCCAGCTCTCAGCCTCACTGGAGACTGGGTCACATATGATCCGTTAGGCTCCCTGGTTGGGGACCTCGGGATGATCTTACCTGATGGTTAGAGACACTAAGTGATATGGTTGAGTGTCTTAAACAGTGGCGTTCTTGCATCTCCCCAATTTCTTCACAACATTAGTCCACTGAAATTCTCCATTTTCTATTCGACTCCACTTGCAACTTTCCTGTGTTTTTCCGAATGTTCATCCAAATGGGCAGCCAAAAGACAGCAATGAAAACCGGCGCACGAAAATGCATGGCGAATGGTTTTTAAAGCTGAAAAAATGCGATACTAGGTGGATTAGCTGATGTCTACCGGCCCAACACCACCTTTGTAGAGCATGTCACTCCAGTTCTCAGAACCTTCAGACAGCTCGTTCTCGTAACCAAATAATAGGTCCTTGTGTTTATGAGTCTCACCTTTTGCATTGGTCACTGTACCTAGATGGCTCATATGAAATGTTATCATGTTCGGTCAAAATGATTTTTCATTCACCTACCATATTTTCGTTTGAGAGATTGTGAAGAATAACGAATTGGCTTTATCTTACTACCCTAACGGATAGAAATAGGCACATTATACAAACACCTTTCAGTAATTAACTACCTGGTCAACTATTTCTTGTTTGTTCAATTAAAAATGTTTTCTATAATCGATATTCAGCAACAGATGAAGGCTTCGTAGCCATGAGAATCTGCCGATCTGTGATAAATATCGATTGAAGTTGGATAGAGGTGCGTAATGAATACTCACACAGTGAATCGGTTCGGATAGCACAGGAGACTGAAAGTCCAGAATTGAGGCTTTATTCATCAGACCAGTTGACTGGGGCAGTGAAAAGGAAGAAGAAAGCATAACAGAAGAAATCTCGGATGATTGATAAAAACAGATACAAATGATTTAATATGGCGCTCTTTATTGCTTACTTTTATCATTCAGCAGTCGAACAGAACAGGCATTTCTCTGGACCTCAGGCTATAGTGATGAACCTTGTGTTGTCTTGTGTGGTTAATGCTTGTAAAAGCTGAAACGAACTGACTGCTGCTTTGCTATCAGAGAATTTATACTAAATAGGTCAGGTAAATGTTTCGCCCCTATGGATGTTTAGTAAAAGGAGTTCGTTTAATCGAGGTACAGTTCTCGATCTCGTGGCACGTTACACTCAAGTGATCGCGGCAGGCTCGACTAAGGTATCATAATTAACTTGCGGCGTCGCAAATTGTAACTGATGTAGAATACTCAGATAGCACATACATGGAGAAGAGAGAACCGTGCGAATCCGAAGAGGTTACAATCATTCCCGATCGAGCTTCAGCTTCCTACGAGATACACCTCATAGTCTAACATCATCAATTTGGAAGTGAACCTGTTCTGTTCTTGAATTCGCAGAGGAATTCTACCAAGTTTTTCTCGATACCATGTTGTGGAAAAGGTAATGCCTGTTCTTCTTGTTTATTAATCACATATATTGTGCGGTGGAAAAAGCCACACTGTTCTCACCCGAAGGGTATCCTGCGAAGTTGGCACTGATTGGCACAAACCCGAAGGCCATATGCGACGTCGTTGATCATTGCATATGACGCCTTGGTGATAAACACGTGGTAAATCCAATGTCCTAAATACAGTGAACTGAGATATCCTTCACACCATTTCATCAATTATAATAAGATTGAGAAAACGAGTCGGTGAGCGAACAATTGTTTTCGGACATTCCTAGTCATGCTCTTACATATCATATAGTGGAAAAATTCTTATATAATCATAGCCATTGGCTCACGTCAACTAACACGTTAAACTTTCCTACACACACACACACACACACACACACACACTCCCATTACTCTCTACCTCCGAATATTGACTTTAANATGATTATGTAAGAATTTTGTCCACTATATGATACGTAAGAGCGTGACTAGGAATATCCGAAAACAATTGTTCGCTCACTGACTCGTTTTCTCAATGCTATCATGGAATATTCAAATTATAATAAGTGTAGTTTGACTATATTGCATCTGTGACCCAACGAGCTATACAGGCTGGCTTTTATCAAGCCAGGAGATCTAATCATGCCTGGAAGGTCAATGGATAGAGGTCAGACGAAGTTCAGTCTCCTGGTCCTCCAGGTTGGGGGTTCGACTGTAATTTGCGTTTCAGTCGTTAAAAAATGGTGGAGAAATAATCGATCCAAGTAAATGAGCCTCCACTTCGCTTCACCCGCTGTCTTGCGGTTAGGTTCTTGTTCGAACTAAAGGCTTCGAACGAGAACCATAATCGCTCTCCTGCTTAGTGGCTGGGCACCCTAGCAGTACCCGTCCATCAAACCCCAATGCATACACTAAATAACAATAATTTCATACTGCATCGGTCGTCGCGCAGGATAATCAGGATCGAGCCGGATGGGTAGTGATAAGTGGGCTACTGCTCAGATATCCCAACCTTTGTTTAATTCTTTGTCTTCAGTACCCAGCCCTCCCCATTTTCCCCTTCTTCCGACCCGTAATGGCCACTCAAGCAACTTGGATGTCACTCGCCAAAGGTCGTTGCCAAATAGCACTGTAAGTGATGTATCTCGAAACGAATTGCAGATTCTAAAGCCTCGTCAATCACTGAATCTGGGGGCCTTCAACGTAAGGACAGTGATGCAGGTAGGTCAACAAGCTTGTCTGGCGCGTACAATGGAATCCTTGGGGATCGATATTTGCTGCATATCGGAGACTCGTATCCAGGATCCTACTAATATAAGCCGCTTGAGCGCGCCAGATTTGTCTTCGAGATATGTTCTTCGTACATCAGGCGAAGACGAAGCCTGCTCAGTGGGTCGGCGCGGGGTAGGTATTGTACTTAGCAACAGGGCGGAGTCCTCTCTTAACGATTGGATTCCCGTTAAAAATCGTTTATGTGCAAAGCGTCTCCACGGTTCAATCAGCGTCCGGAAGGGAAGCAACACCAAAAGGTGTTTGTTCATCTTATCGGCATATGCACCGACCAATTGCAGTTCTGATACCCAAAACGACGCCTTCTACGACGAACTCACCGATCTCATTCGGATGAGTCGAAGCTCCGACATAGTTGTACTTGCAGGTGACTTCAACGCGCAAGTTGGAAAATTGGGCACATCAGAAGCTTGCCTAGGCGGTAGTTGTACTCTGCTCAGCCAACGAACAGATAACGGCGATCAACTTCTTCAGTTCTG